ATAACTTTTCTCCTGCTGCTCGTAAATTACTTCCTGAACCACTTTCGACGAACTGAACAAGACACGAGCCGGGATCAGCTTGAAGAGGTTGATCCCGAGAGAAACTCTTTGCTTTCGCACAAAGACGATGATGCCCCCAGCTGGGGCTCCTCTTATGCTTCGGTCTCGGATGATGAAGAGCGTAAAGAGGACACGTCACAAGGTGCAAAGGCCGCTAAAGACGACGAAAATAAGCAGATTTGTGCAATCTGTTTTGATGCTCCCAAGGATAGTTTCTTCATTCCGTGTGGACACTGTGCGGCTTGTTATGGATGCTCAATAAGGTAAAAAGCATATTACGTGCGCTCATAATATGTAAATGATTAAGCACGGTTTTTCAATACATTCGACCACTTGTCACTTTGTTTTCATTTTGATGTTATATGAAAATGTGCAACCTGATTTGAGCTTTACAGGGTGGTCGAAAGCTCGGGAGTTTGCCCAATATGCCGTCGGCCTATAAAAAAAGTGAGAAAGATTTACACCGTTTGATCATCTATGGGAGTTCATCTTGTACTTTTCCGATGTTTGTGGCCAGCATTTTCTTTGTAGAGTGTTCTTATATATTTTTAGGATTTACTCTCTTTATCGAGTGTCGATGCCGAGAGTAAAAATGTAAATGGACTCTCTTTTCTCAATATTGAGTAGAAATGCCCAAGATTTCTTCTCAATAATTTTGTTGCTATTTATCTTTAGGACCCCGTTTACTTTTGTTCTTGTCAATTAAATTGGTTACACATGATCAAGACTTGTATATGCTGAAATATTATGTAAAGTTAGTAATGTGAAATTTGATACAGTTAACAATTACCACTCCTCATATATATACAGAATGAAAAAACGAAAACAGATTATGCATATATGACCAAAACTTGCAAAATTAAATTTTGTGTTACATTTATATATAATTTTTAAAATATATATTTTTAATTTGTAATGTCATGCTCTAGAACATAACATGAACAAAAGTATATAATTTGGTAGCATGATGTTTTTTGTTAAAAGTGTATATGGTGAATTAGACTGACTCCTTAAAAATTTAAGATTTGACAAATATTTAGCTTTCTTTTTCAATAACCATAAATTACACATCACACCATTTAATTTTTATAATATATGTTTCATAAAAAGCTCATCTTATAAACTTTTTAATCTAAAATCGAATATTTTAATTACTAAAAAAATTATTAAGTATATTTAATCAATGCCTAAGTCACCACTCTATAGGTTCGATAAAAATAAATAGAAAAAAAAAAAGGTTTGACTTCAAGCTTTCTACCCAGTTTCGTTTTCCTTTTTATTTGTCACCAATTTTCTTTGTACGTCTCTCGACACAACCGGAGGTCCGGCGAAACCATGGATCGGGCGCAGGTACTGTTGGTGGGTCTACCGTTATTCCTCTTATGCTCCGACATCTTCCACCTCTTTTCTCCGCCGCCTGCGAAGCCCGCCGCTCCCCACCACCACCATCACCACCACCGTTACCAACCAGATTCACAGCCAATTATCCAACAGCAGCAGCCGTCGCTTGAGTTCCCGACTCAGGTTTGCCCTAATTTTTTCAGTATTTAGAAGGAAGGTATCTTATTGACTTCCAGGCATTGTTGAATTAGATTGAATTACTTCAAAATTAGTCGATTTCGATGAACACTGAGTTGGCATGTTACGAGAGACTGGCTTTTTATGTGTTAAATTATATCTTTGTTTCATAATGAACTCTGAAAAATACTTTGAATTTGCAGCCTAATTTATAGATCCATTTGGAGCATTCAGGTATGCATAATAGTGTTATCATTTTTGTTTATGCTTGATGTTGAGCAGAAAGCTAGCGGGATCGGTTTTGGAAACTCGATTAGCATCGGCTTCTGTTCTTCCTGTTCTTACAGGTCATTTGAGTTCCTTCTTCCTTTTTTCTATTTTGATCAATTCTGCTGTTTGGATACATTGATTTTGCTTTAATTTCTATGTGATTTTCAATTGGTTACTTATGGACAACATACATATTATCTTTAGCTTAGTATCATGATGAATCAAATTCACTTCCGTAGATCAAGAGAATCCGTTGGATGGAGCTCACTCATTGTAATTAGGGGTGAAAATGGCTGGCACGACACAATTAGAAAACATGACTGTAGAGAGTAGAGACAAATGGCGCAATCTGCACAACAGAACATGTTCACGGCACGAAAAGCACAAATTAAAAAAAAAAAAATACTTAAATTTAGATTTAGTATCATATCTTTGATCGAATAAAGTAGTTAACACAAACACAATATGACAGCATGATTTTCCACCTCTGATTGCAATTGGGGTGCTTTTCTTGTTCAGAAGTAGAATACTCGTGCCTGAGGAATATAGATTGGGCACACCAAAGAGGATCTCCTGAAGGAGTAAATGTGTTTGAGAAGTATTAATATGCATTGGAATGCTTCAATTAGTAGTGTCTATTATTTTGCAGTGATTTAGGATAGTGCAAGGAAAAATATTTAACGAAAAATAAGGAGCATAAAAATACATACTGCTTCCAGGTTATCTTTAGTGGGGCATTTATGCAACTTCTGTTTTTTTTTTTTTTTTT